TTAGGGTTTGCGTTTAGGGTTTGGGGTTTATGTTTAGGGTTTAGGGTTGAGGGTTAGGGTATAGGGCTTAGGGCTTAGGGTCTCGGGGTTCTAAGATTACCCTGTCAAACAAACTAACGTGCGAGCTTCCTAAAAGCTTGGAACAGTTGAGGCTTTGCAGGAGTCCATTAACATCACCAACCTCCCGGAGCCTTGGTTGAATGCTTAGGGTTTCGTGATTTCCCCAAACCCCAATACCCTACACCCTAAACCCGAGGCTAGACCCTGAATCCTAAACCCTATACTAAACCCTAAATCCTAAACCCTAAACCCTATACTAAACCCTAAATCTTAAACCATAAACCCTAGACTAAACCCTGAACCGTAAATCCTAAACCCTAAACCTTTTGAAGGGCGGGTCAACAATTGTTCGAAGAGTTCGTTCGAGGCCTTGAGTCTTAGGGGCAAGATTGTTAATGTAGGGTGTTTCGGTTTAGGGTTGAGGGTTCAGGGTTTAGGGTTTGGGATTTAGGGTTTGGGGTTCTGGGTTTAAGGGTTCCGTATTGTAGCTATAGTATAATGGGCCCCGAAACCCATTCTAATTTTTTAGGCCCCTACAGTAGACCCTTGGCTTTTCAGACTTACCTTGCATGGGATCTGAGACCAAGAGCTCGACATCTAATGTAGAGGCTTCAATAATTAACATAAGGTTTTGAAGCACATTATACTATAATCATACTAAGGAACTCCCAAAATCATGTAGGTAGTTATGTAGGCCCATATAGTAACGCAATGTTCTGACATGCACATTGTCCCGGACAAAAGCTGCTCAAGTGTGGATCGCGGCGCCTCCAAGCACCGAAAGGTCATCTCCTTCGAGGGTTTAGGGTTTAGGGTTTAGGGTTTAGGGTTTAGGGTTTAGGGTTTAGGGTTATCCTGCCACGGCTTGTTTCTGGGTTTCTGCCAGCCCATGTCCTCGGCATTGAACTTGGGCCCAGAACCCTCACTTGCTTATGCAGGATTTGCACCTGCTGAGCTCGACCAGAATCGAGGGCAACACGATACGCCACATCATTCTGGTACGGCGCCGGCAATGTTGTGCGGCCCTTCCCCTCTTGGTCGGCTGGCCTCGAGGGCGGTTGGGGGGGCCCCCCAGCCCTAAGCGCCCAGCCCTAAACCCTAAATCTTAACAAACCTAAATGGGAGTTTCCGAAAATTAGGGGTACCTTATTTTGGGGTGCAAATAATAAGGATCCTACTATTTAGGGTGCTATATTAGGGTCCCCTATTTTCGGAAACCCCCAAATCCCGAAACCAGTTAAAAGAAAGATGTGGTGACTGCTCCCGGCGGGCTTGGGACTGATACGGAACTGAGACGCCCCCCAAAATATTGCAGGTAGAATAGGGTTTTGGGCTGCATTGCACTGTATTTACAATAAGGGCCCGAAGGGATATGACCCAATATTAACTACGTTGAACAAAAATGTACAATGGATTCAATGTGTAATTAGGGTATTAAAGAAACCGCAAACCCATTACGATCCCGGAATATCGATTCGACCCTAAACCCTTTATTCTCCTGTGGCTATCCTTCACGTAAGATTTTACAATCTGATTGGAGCGTCAGAAGCCCTGATGCCTCTAGCATAGAAACCAAACAGAAACCTCTGTATTCTCAACCCCGTCCAACCCTGTCCGAACTCACAACATCCAAATGAGACTGCACAAAATCCCGACATCGCCCATGAAAAAACCTGAAAGACAACCCTAAACCCTAAACCCTAAAACAATACCGAAACGTCTTCGCACTCAGTGGCAGCTCGTTGCTCAGCACCAGGGAGGCACCAGATTCCTCCGTGCCACGAATGCCGGCCTTCGGCAAGTGTTTAGGAGTAAGGAGAAGGGAGTTGAATATCTATGGTGCAAAACATATGTCAATGTGTCTAGCCACACATACAACAGGGTATAAATATATATATATATATATACATATTGTGGAAAGGCATATTTACGGAGAGAGAGCTTCATGGATTTGTCTGTCTACTTTTGTACTTGGTTACTTACTTCCTTACTTACTTTACTTACTTACTTACTTACTTACTTACTTACTTACTTACTTACTTACTTACTTACTTACTTACTTACCTGCTTATTCATGTACCTACTTACTTACTTGCTTGCCTGCTTACTTACCTGCTTACGTACCTACCTCCCTACATACTTGCCTACCTACCTGCCTACCTATCTACCCACCCACCTACCTATAGTACCTACCTACCTACCTACCTACCTACCTACCCACCCACCCACCTACCTACCTCCTTGCCTGCCTACCTACTTACCTGCGCACGTACTTGCCTATCTGTGCATTTGTTTGTGTATCGGCCCTAAACCCTAAGCCGCTAAACCCCTAAACCCTAGACCCCGAAACCCTAAACCCAGGGCTATGATGACGGTCTTCGTCTTGTCATCATTGCTACTGCCTGCTTTATCAGGGCTAGGCTGCTGAAGGGCTTACTCTAGGGGCCTGAAAAACTAGAATAGGGTTTTGGGGGTTCCTTTTCGGGTTCCTTACAGGGTTCTTATTACAAGGGCTACTATAAGGATTCAGGGTTTAGGGGCCTTGATAATTAGAATGGGTTTTGGAGCATATTATACTAAACCTATATTATAATAAGGAACGCCCAAAATAGTATAGGTCAGTACTAAGGCCTCTGTAATACGATATTCGTTAGATTGTAGAGCACTTGACAACGCTCGACCCTGTACCCCCAACCCTAAACCCGAACCCCTAACCCT